TTTTATTAGTTTATTCTCTTATGAAATTATCAAAAAGAAATTCTAGAAGTAAAAATTCCAATAAGAGAAATTACTATTTCAGAAATAGTTGGGTTTAACAATATATTTGATGCAACACAAGAGAGAATTATTGCACTAAAGCATTCTCAGAAGAAAATACCCAGGCTGAATTGAAAAGATTTTAGAAAAACAGAAACTAGCACACAATTATAAATAGAGAAAGATTTAAAACAAAATTGAACTACTTGTAACTGAAGTCCCTTAAGGGGAGGAAACACAGATTAAGACAAAACAGTATTGGTCAAAATCCAACATAAAGTTTCCCAACCTAATGAAAGACATCAAGCCACAGATGCAAGAAGCACTGCCAACTCCCAGAAAGATAAAAGGCAGAAAAATAACAACCCAAATCTCTGATTACATTGTAGAAAAACTTCTAAAACAGAAGACATAAGGAAAATCTTAGAGAAAAAAGACACTTAAACAAAAGATTGGTAGTGGTTTATCATTAGAAAAACAGAAGACAGAAAACAGAAGACTTTGGCAACATTTCTAGCACACAATTTAAAAATATATAAGAAGTGTATGTTGGTTTTCTATTGCTGCCATAACAAATTATCACCAATATAGGAACTTAAAATTACATGAATAATACTTTTATTACTGCACAGTTCTTCTTCCAAAAATATGTGTATATATTTAAATGCTATTTTAGAAATACTATTAACTCAATTATAAAAATGTAAAACAACCTTATAGAAGTGGAAAAAATAATATGAACAGGGAATTCACAGAACAAAACTGTGTGGCCAATAAATAGCTTACTCAACTTCTCTATAATCAGGGAAAACAAATTTTGTACCCATGATATTGAAAATATTAAGAAATTTGAAACTTTCAAGTGTTAGTAGGGATGTGGGGAATAAGAAGAGTGACTACCAACACTTGCAAAGACAGTGAGTAAAGCATGCAATGGCATGAATTATCACAAGTCTTGTGGTAAATTTTAAGACTTCATGGTTACAGTTTAAGCAAGCTAGGAGGTAGGGGGAAAAAAGAAATTATGTACAGCCTCGTTTCCATGCTATGAAGCTGGTGTTTTGTCTGGAAGTACATGGTAAGATACTGAAGGGTTTATCCTTGAACAAAGATTGCTCTGGAAGCAAAATGGAGACTAGTTAGGAGGGTACAATACTGGAGAAACCAGTTAGGACACTATTATAATATCATACAAAGGTGATGAGAGCCTAATGAAGATAGTAACAATAGGGATGGAGAAAAGGGGATGTATATAGAAAGACATAGGGATAGAATCAATAGTATTTGGTCACAGATAAGGCAAGGTTAAGAGAGTGCAAAAGTAATGGAAATTTCAGGCATGGCCAACAGAATAAATGATGACACAATTAACTAGAATAAGTTTCCCACTCTTCCCAAATGATGAGTTCAATTTGGGGAATGTTGATTTAGAGGCACCTTTGGGGTCTGTGGTCAATTGTTTCTATGGGTCCAAAACTCAGCTGGAAAGTCTAATTTAGATATAGCAGTCATCAGTGTATTAATGCTTACTTAAGCCTTATTCATAGATGATATCACATATATGGAGTGTGATGAGAATAAAAGAGGGTTAAAGACAGAATCCTGGGGATCAATATCTGAGAGATGATTGAAGAGGAAAAATCTGAAAAAGAGACTAAAAAGAAAAGAGAGAGAGAGAGAGAGGGAGAGAGAGAGAGACTGAAAAGGAGCAACCAGACTGAAAGAAGGAAAACAGTGGACTTGGGTAAACAAGAAGAGTTCCAAAAAAGAGGCCATATCTGGCAGAGGCAAATACCACCGAGATATTAAGACAAAGACTGAGTTGGTGGGAATGTAAGTTGGTACAGCCACAGTGGAAAACAGTATTAAAGTTCCTCAAAAAATTAATATCATAGGATCCAGCCATTCTACTTCTGGGTATATACCCCCAAATGAAAGCAATCTGAAGAGATAGATAGATGGCACTCCTATGTTTATTGCAGCATTATTTACAATAGCCAAGATAATAGAAGCAACTTAAATGTCCATCAATAGATGAATATCTATCTATCTATCTTTCTATCTATCGAAATCTTACTCAGCTGTAAAAAAGAATGAAACCATTTGCAACAACATGAATGGACCTAGAGGGTATACTTCTAAATGAAATAAGTCAGACAGAGAAATACAAATATCATATGACTTTACTTATTTATGCAATCTAAAAAACAAAACAAATAAACAAACCAGAAACAGACTCATAGATAGTGAAAACAGACTGTTGGTTACTGGAGTTGTGAGAGCTTGGGGCCAGGTAAAATAGGTGAAGGGGATTAAGAGATACAAACTTTGAGTTATAAAATAAACCATGCTGATGTAATGTACAGCATAAAAAATATAGTCAATAATATTGTAATAACTTTGTAAGGTGACAGATGGTAACTAGACTTATCATGGGGATAATTTTGTAATGTGTAAAAATATTGAATCACTATGATGTACACCTGAAACTAATATGATATTGTATGTCAATTATACTTCAATAAATATACTGTAATACATATTTGACAGTTGCTAAGAGAGTGGATCTTAAAATTTTTTCTCACAAGAAACAATGTAACTCTGTATGGTGGTGGATGTTAACTAGACTCATTGTGGCAATCGTTTTCCAATGTATACAAATATCGAATCAATATGTTGTAAACTTGAAACTAATATAATGTTTTTCAATTATATATCAATAAAAAAAATAAGTAACCACTCAATTTATCTCAGTTTACTAACCAAGAGGATATTGGTCATCTTGGTCTAAGGCAGAAGTAGATGGTAGTGGATCGAGGAGTGAATAAGAGGTGAAGAATTATTGACATAGTCTTTCCAAAAGCTTGATTGTAATAGCAGTATGAAGTGGAAGATGGAGGAAGATTGTTTTTTTTAAGGTGGCGGCAGTTTGAGGATACATATACATTTGGGGAAAAGGGGCACTGTGGAAGGAGAGGTTAGTATTAAAGGACAAAAGAAGAATAATGAATGGACTGAGATGCTGAAGCAGTGGGGGGAGGCAGTGAGCAGAGGGTTTCACTGTGGATGGGAGAAAGGCCCCTCTTCCACTGAAACAAGATGGGCTGGAACAGAGAAGAGGTAAAGTGGGTATGGGTGAACCTGCTTCTAAGAGGAAAGCAGGAAAACACACTTCTCTCTAATGGCCCTGTTTTCTTAGTGAGATTATTTGCTGAGAGTAAGGATGGAGATGTGAGGCAGGGTTTTGTACATTGTTGGAGGAATAATGGACCAGGCTGGTTTAGCTCATGAAGAACACAACTTGCTAAAACACACACACACACACACACACACACACACACACACACACACACACACACACACACACACACACACACACACACACACCTTGCTGCCAGTTACTAAGGGAGTCATTAAGGGCCCACCTGTGGTTGAAGACCAATTTATTCTGTGGCAGTAATTTGTGTGTGTGTGTGTGTGTGTGTGTGTGTGTGTGTGTGTGTGTGTTTTCTTGCAGTACTCAACCACCAGGCTATATAGACTTTAAACAATTTGAATGTTTGCATCAAACCTCTTTGAGAATGCATTAGTTGAGTGAGACAGAAGAGCTAATGCTAACATTTATTGGGTACTCTTGGACACGCAATCTCTCTCGAAACATGTCTGTAAAATGTCCTTGTCTGTAAAATGGGACTAAATAGTACTTGTCTCACTGGTACTTGTTGGAAGAATTACATGAAATATTAGTGTTCCTCAGATTGTTTACCATGACCTTCAATAAGAAATGGGTAGCCTTATTGTGAGGATTAAATGAATATCTGAAAGTTCACAATGCCTTTCCCAAAATATCTGGGGACTTAATGTGTTTCAAAATTCTGAATTTGGGGAATTTGAGGAAAGTAATATGATGACCAGAACACATATTACATAACATCCCATCAGGGCTTAGAAAAGTATCCAAAATCAAACATTAATCTTTCTACAGCTAAACATAATTAATATTCACACAAACCACAAATGAAGACTCTTAATAACCTCCCAAGAGTTTCAGGTCAGATTTTGCCACCGAAAGAATTCAGGTCAGATTTTTCTTCAAATGTATATTTTTGTCAAGTTTTTATTTAAATTCCAACTAATGGACATACAGTGCAGTATTAGTTTCAGGTATAGAATTTAGTGATTCATCACTTTCATACAATGCCCAGTGCTCATCACAATATCAAACGTATTTTTTTTAAGCTTTGGGGTTTTTTTAGGATTTTTTGGATTTTGGAATTGTGGATATGAAATTGCAGCTATAGATACAATCTTTACAAAGTACCCAGCACATAATAATTATTGGTTATTATTACTGGCATTTCACTTTTAAAATGATGGCTATAACCCACAAATGGGATTTCATGTGACCCACACTCTAAGAAATGCTAACATACAGATGTTTAGCCTGGTCCCTGGTACACACTAGGCTTTCAACATGTTGCAGGGAAAAATTACCATTTTATATTTGTATAATATTTTAAGTTTCAATCATTCTTTTTAAGCATGTAGTTGCTATTCACCTTCACAGTAACTTTATCCGAAATAATCTGAATGGTTTAACTTTCCTCTTCATTTAGATGGTAGTTTCATGTCTCAGTGCTTTTATGATGAACAGAAGGAATGTAAATAATGATAAACACATCTTCCTATGGCATTTATACCTTGCCACCTAAAGTGCTTTCTAACTTTTCTTTAATTACTTTACGTGAAAGAATTTTGTTGCATAGATAAACAAGCAGAACCAAGAGATCAAGCCATTTGTCTTAGGTTATAAAATACACTATTTCTACATAGACTGTGTCCAACAGACTATACAGCTATTTGAAAGTTGTACTTTCAAAGCATATTATTCAGTCCTTAAAATGAGCTAAAGACACGTTTCTCTAAAGTCGCCTTATAATCTTTGTGTTTTATTTTTTCAGTGCTCTTGGAGACATTAAAATAGCTGAAGTAAATGTCAAGGGTTTATTCGTGAAGCTCATTAACTCTTCCCTTGACAAAGAACTGGAGATTGGAGGTCATATTCTCCAGCAAAATGTGAATGGACAAACAGTCTCTTTGTACCGCTTCCTTCCAAATATCATAATGCAGGCAAATCGCACAGTAACAGTGAGTGCCAGATATAAATGCTGTGATGCTCTGAACTAGAATTGTACAGGAAAAACTCATCTACCCAGCCAGACTGGCTCAGCACCAGTTGTTTCTTCATCATTTGATCTCTACGTAAAATGTGGTTTCTCGTTGTTGTTGGTTATTTGTGCCACTTTGTCCATCCCTAGATGTAAATTAACACCCGTAATTCAATTTCCATTGCTTTCCTCAATTTGGTGTACAATACCTTTTGTTTTTATGATTTCACTATTAAAATGAAATACTTAGGTTCCCAAAACTAAGCAAACATAATCCTTAAAAGCAAAGAGATTGTTTGCTTAGAGAACAGGTAATTAGTTGATGCTGGAAGGTTTCCTTTCTTTTTTGTGCTTTCCTTTAAGTCATGTACAGTAGCTTGGTTTACACAGCTGATATTATATATTATGCAGTCATATTTTAAAACCTCATTGTTCAAAATGACACGTTTCAATGACCCCCTGACATATACGAAACTATGTGAAGCTGCAATGGCATTTGTCATTAACAAACCATTTTTCTTATAGGTTTGGGCAGCTGCATCTGAAGCAAAGCATCAGCCACCATCAGATTTTCTTTGGAGAGAACAAAAAATGTTTAAAACAAGCCCAGATTGTACAACAATTCTGTGCAAACCTAATGGTGAAGTCAGTGTCTGATTCTCAACAATAGCTTTTAAAAGAATGCATAGCTCTCCTTAGGTTCCCCTTCTCCTCTTAGCTGACTCAATTATTTTCCATCCTTAAGAGCTCAGATAGAACCATCACCAACTGCAGTAACATGTCAGGCAAATCAACAGCATCCTCTTCCCAGGGCCAAAATGCCAAAGAGCTACTTACAAGTTGGCAAAAATAATTTTCATAGCCCATATTTATAAGAAGTTACTTCAAATTTTAGAATCAGGGATGGATTTTATTTATGATATTTAGCCCAAAGAGTGGAATAAGAAAGGAAAGTACTACATAGAGACCTTTTCTATTCATTTATTCATTTCTCAATTATTTGTTGAGATTATTGTCCATTCCAATGGCTGTAATAAGTGCTGAGAATATAACATAGAGTAGGATATGATATCTGCTCTTAAGATATTAATATTCTAATGAAAGAATCTATAGTCTAATTTGTAACAACTATACTTTAAATCAACTTCACCATAAATTAAGTGTATTAGTAATAATTTTAGGTAACTTATTCCCAGTATTTGACAATTTTATATTTTCACTCTACCTTTTCCTTAGCATAATAGTAGCGTTAAGTATATGCCCAAAAACACACTAATAAAGTTGAAAGCTATCTTTGTTTACAACAAAAAAGTTAATCTTTTTGCAAAAACATTATTTTAATTTTTCTTAAAAAATCTTTTTTTTCTTACCCCCAGTCTAACTTACTATGTCATATAACTACTAATCCAGATAATATGTTAATTGGAATCTATCCCTTTGATTGTCTTTCTTGCTACATTATACCTCATTCTTAGATTGTACTCTCTCTTTTGAGTAGACTTGCTAATTTATTAAGAGCCATTTAACGTCTTTCTGTAATAACAGCAGTTGTTAGATAGGGAGACCACTCATTAGCTGTAATTTTGAAGCATTTACTCACTTACCTTTAGATCTTTCAGCGGGCTAAAACTGAATTTTGTAATACTTCTAATGATTCTCATTGATGGGAAAAATAGGTGATATAATCTAAGTTATTTACTCAGCCTTGTAAAAAATCATTGGCAGATTATGATTAAGGCATTTCTGTTTCAGATTTTTCATCACATTTATCCACCCATTTATTTGTTCTGCAAACACATTTGGGGTTTCTACTTTGTGTGCACACTGTTCCCAGACACTGAGTGTTGAACGAGAGACCAGATCTCTGAGCTCCTGGAATGCCTGTTTGAGTAAATTGTCCTTCCCTGAAATGAAATTAGTCTTTGTACTTACACTGCTCCTTTTACTCTGATTTGAACTACACAACTACTTACAACTGCTTTTTGCACAGTTCTTTATAGTTAATGAAATTTAGTAGCTTAACTGAACCTCACAACACCCTCATATAACAATTCCCTACCACCATCCTCCCATTTCACATATGAGGACACAGTCCAAGATAATAAGCAACTAATCTGTCTGAGGTTATGCAGTTTGTAAGTTTTAGAATTGGAAACTAAGGCCAGGATGTCTTATTACATCCTCACTGTGTGTTTTATTAATTCACCCATAGTAAGTGAGTGGCATCAAATTGTTTGACTTTGAAATTTTACTGCAATAAGCCTATGACATTTAAAAAAAATCTATCCAACTCCATCGGTAGTTGACATTAATGAATCATTTTTGTTAGGCTGTCGCCTGGTACACTCCTATTCACTGGAAACAAGTGTGGGAGAAATTAGAGACTGACATTGAATTTGACAGATGCTCAATAGTAAGTCCAACGTCTCGAAGACACGTATTTCATTGGCCAACAGCTATATCTACAACTAAAGAAAAACAAGACAAGTCTAATAAGGATACCTCAAAAAATCAGATGGAACAAGTTAGAGTTTTTCTTAAAAGGTAAAAGTTGTTTGGATTTTTAAAAAAATTTTTTTAACTGAACAAGTAGGAAGGACTGAGTGACAAGTAGAGACATGATGAATAGGTAAATCAATAATGACAAAAAAAATCCTATTTCAAATAGAATGATAAAAACCATAATACTATTTGTGTTTTGTGAAAAACACAGAGAAAGCAGGGTTATAGTCATGGGACAGTAAAGGCTGGTGACTTCCGCTAGGCAATATCGAGACCCCTCCGGCCATTTCACTTCTTAGTGGCAATGCTGTTAGAGGCAAGGCTGTGGAGAGGTGAAGAGATGAAGTTATCACCATGTCTTTAGCAGTGCTTCGGTGGAGGGAATAGTGAATCATCTAGGAATTTCATCTTGGATCAAAAGTTGCCTTGTGGCTTAACGTGAAGAATTTGTTACACATGGGTGGGCAAATACTTCTGATGTGATAAAAGCCCTGCCCACATGGTCTTAAAACATGGTCTTGAAACATGCTTTCACTTTAATTGAGGTTCATTGATAATGAACTATGATGATCCCTTTTTGGTTCACTTTGGACTTAATTTTTTTTTACAGAGAAAAAGAAAACCCACCAACCCTTTTTCCTAATAGCAGTCCTTGGTGCCACAGTCCCAATGTCCCTGCACATCCCTACTGTCCTCTGATTGAACCTCACAATACCAGCATGGCTGGAAGCAGCTTAGATAGACAGCCTAGGCCTCAGTCATCTGGGTCCGATCCAGCCCAGGTAAGGCAAAGTACTTATTCCACTGGAGAGTTAAGAGATGTGGGTGGGAGGAGGAAGAGAGAGGAGGAAGGAGGAGAGAGAAGGAGGGAAGGAGACCTGGTGAAAGGGGTTAAGTGATAAAATTCACTAAGTACTAAAAACTATTTGGGGCATTTGGGTGGCTCACTCAGCTGAGCATCTGACTCTAGGTTTTAGATCAGGTCATGATCTCATGGTTTGTGGATTTGAGACCTACATAGGGCTCCACAGTGACAGCATGGAGCCTGGTTGGGATTCTCTCTCGTTCACTCTCTCTCTCTGCCCATTCCCCACTCACTCTCTCTGTTTCTCTCTCAAAATAAACAAACTTAAACATAAATAAGTAAATAAATAAATAAATAAATAAATAAATAAATACTATTCATTTCTTCAAGTGTAGATGGCTCCTAAAGCAAGTATCATAAATCATTCACTTACATTTGCTTTAGCACAGTGTCTTCTACTGTTTTCAATATCTATTGAATAATGATTTGCTATAATGATTTGCAAACTTTTAATTAGTAGAGGGATGCTCTTTTAAATGAAATATTGGGCAGACTCAATATATAAAATGTTACAAGGAAACCTGTCCAAATTGAAGAAAAGGTAGCAATTCCCACTGCCCACTATACCCTTCTTCCCTCCCATCTTCCCTAGCTTCTTCTCTCCTTCCCTGTGATCTTTGAGGTACCTTTCTAGCATCATAGAATTCTATACCATAGTATGAAAACCACTGTGTGAGTATACTAACACATAATTGGAAGTAGTACCCCCAAAATAGTAACTTTTAGAAGTGGAATGATAAAAATTATGTAAATTCCTGAATATATTCAATTTCATAAAATTAATACCCTACATCTTTGTGCTTGACTTTCTTCATCCATCAAGTAAGAGATTTGGAAATTTAAAGAGCTCTTTAGCAATAATTTATACATATAATTTTTATGTATAATACACACAGACACACACTTTTAGTGCATTACAACTTAGATTTGAGATTCATAAGAAGAACACAAATTATGTTTTTCTCCAAATAATGATAGTAGACACTATTTTACCCATTCTAGACAACTTGTTTCTCAAAGAAATTTGGCTTCAAATTTTCTTTCTTTAATCTTTTTATTCAACTATAATTAACATAAATTTTATTGTATTTCAAGTGTACAAGATTATTATTTAAATCTCTGTGCATCACTCAGTGCCCATCACGATTACTGTACTCATAATCCCCTTCACATATTTCATCCATCCCCCCCACCCACCTCCTCTCTGGTGACCACCAGTTTGTTCTGTATATTCAAGAGTATGTTCATGAACAGACGTTACTCTAAAGAAGACATACATACAGATGGCCAACGTGAAAAGATACTCCATATCATCCATCATCAGGGTTATGCAAATCAAAACCACAATGAGATATCACCTCACACTTGGCAGAAGGACTAAACTTAAAAACTCAAGAAACAAGTGTTTTGAAGATGTGGAGAAAAAGGAACAAAACAAATGGACAAGGAGAAGAAAACAGGCAAACCAAAACATAGACTCTTAACTATAGAAAACAAACAGATGGTTACCAGAGGAAAGGTGGGCAGGGAGATGGGTGAAATAGGTGAAGGGGATTAAGAATACTCTTACCTTGATGAGCACTGAGTAATATATTGAACTGAAATTAATTAACACTGTATGTTAACTACACTGGCATTCTAATAATTTTTTAAAAAAGAATATTTTAAAAGATCTATAAGAATTTAGATCTAAAAGATCTAAAAAGATCTAAATCTTCTTTTAAAAGAATCTTTCTGTCTCTTTTATTCCTTGTTCACATGTTTTGTTTCTTAAATTCCACATCTGAGTGAAATAATATGGTATTTGTCTTTCACTGACTGACTTACTTCACTTAGCATTATACCCTATAGATCCATCCATGTTGTTTCTCCAAATGGTCAGATTTTATTCATTTTTAAGGCTGAGTCATATTCCATTGTATATATATACCATTTCTTCTTTATTCATTCACCTATACATGGACCCTTGGGTTGCTTCTAAATCTTGGCTATTGTAAATAATGCTACAATAGACATAAGGGCGCATATCTTTTTGAATTAGTGTTTTTGTTCTCTTTGGGTAAATATCCAGTAGTATTTTCACTATGGTGATCATATGGTAATTCTATTTTCAATTTTTTGAGGAAATTCTATACTATTTTTCACAGTGGCTGCACCAATTTGCATTCCTTCCAACAGTGCACAAGGGTTCCTTTTTCTCCACATCCTCACCAATGCTTGTTATTTCTTGTCTTTTTTTATTTTAGCCATTCTGACAAGTGTGAGGTGATATTTCATTGTGGTTTTCATTTGCATTTCCCTGATAATTAGTGATGTGGAGTATCTTTTCATGTATCTGTTGGCTATCTGTATATCTTCTTTGGAGAAATGTATATTCATGTCCTCTCTCCATTTTTCAGTTGGGTTATTTGTTTCTTTGGTATTCAATTGTATAAGTTATTTTTTTTCAAGTTTTTATTTATATTCCAGATAGTTCACATTCAGTGTAAGATTAGTTTTGGGTGTAGAATTTAGTGATTCATCACTTACTTACAAAACCCAGTGCTCATTCCAAGTGCCCTCCTTAATAACCATCACCCATTTAGCCCATTCCCCCACCCATTTCCTCTCATTTGTTCTCTAAAGTTGAGTCTGTTTTCCAATTTGCATCTCTTTATTTTCCCCTATGTTCATCTGTTTTGTTTCTTAAATTCCACATAAGAATGAAATCATATGGTATTTGTCTTTCTCGGACTATTTCACTTAGCATAATACACTGTAGCTCCATCCACCACGTTTCAAAAGGCAAGATTTTATTATTTTTATGGCTAATATTCCTGTGTGTGTGTGTGTGTGTGTGTGTGTGTGTGTGTGGCACATCTTCTTTATCCATTCATCAGTTGATGGACACTGGGGCTCTTTCCATAATTTAGCTATTGTTTATAAAGCTGCTGTAAACATTAGGGTGCATGTGTCCCTTCGAATCAATATTTTTGTCTCCTTTGGGTAAATACTTAATAGTACACTTGCTGGATCATAGGGTAGTTCTATTTTTAACTTTGTGAGGAACCTCCATACTGTTCTTCAGAGTGACTGCACCATTTTGCATTCCTACCAACAGTGAAAGAGGATTCCCCTTTCTCCACATCCTCACCACAGCTTTGTTTCCTGTGTTGTTAATTTTAGCCATTCTGACAGGTGTGAGGTGAAGTCTTATTGGAGTTTTGATTTGTATTTCCCTGATGATGAGTAATGTTAAGCATCTTTCCATGTGTCTGCTAGCCACCTGTGTGTCTTTTTTGGAAAAATGTCTATTCATGTCTTCTGCCAATTTTTAACTGGATTATTTGGTTTTGGGATGTTGAGTTTTATAAGTTCTTTATATATTTTGGATACTAACCCTTTATCAGATAAGTAAGATGTTAAAGTCCCCTAATATTATTATATTACTATTAATTACTTTATGCGTATGTTATTAGCTGCTTTATGTGTTTGGCTGCTCTCATGCTGGGTGCATAAATATTTACGATTATTATGTCTTCTTGTTAAATTGTTCCCTTTATGATTATATAGTGTCTTTCTTTTTCTTCTGTTGTAGTGTTTGTTTTAAAGGCTATTTTGTCTGATATGTATTGCTACCCCAGCTTTCTTTTCACCTCCATTTGCATGATAAATGCTTTTCAATCCCTTCACTTAAAAAACATTTTTTAACGTTTATTTATTTTTGAGAGACAGAGATAGAGCACAAGCAGGGGAGGGGCAGAGAGAGAGGGAGACACAGAATCAAAGGCAGGCTCCCAGCTCTGAACCACCAGCACAAAGACTGATGTGGGGCTCAAACCCATGAACTGTGAGATCATGACCTGAGCCAAAGTTGTTATCAACAAAATTAAACTATTTCTTTACCTTAATAGAAGAATTTAAGGGACACTGAACAAAAGAAAGAGGGAGAGAATATTGACATCTGGGTAAAGCCCATACCATAAACAATTTACTCAAAAATGGCTGATTGCCTATAATAAATCATAGTGCTAAGCACCACAGACACAAAAATAAGGCACTCTCTTTCTGGGAAGAAAAACAAATAGTAAAGCAACAAACATAGTAAGGTAGTGACTTACAAATATTTTTGACCATAAACCACAGTAAGAAATATAGTTTACATCATTATTCAGTATACATATACACATGTACATGTGTAACTGACACAAAAGTTTCAAAAGGCAGTACTTAATTTTCTGAGTTGTTTGTATTTCCTACTGTATTCTATTTCATTTTTAAGTACCTGTCATGACCCTCTAAATTTACTTCATTACCAATAAATGGGACAGGATCTCTGTTCAAAAAACATTGTTTTAGAAACGTTTATAAAGTGACATGAAAGCAATTGAAAAGGCAACTCAAAGGAGATAGTATTTGAACTATGATATTGAAAGATGTATAGAAGCTATTCAAGTTTAAAAGAAAGTGGGCAAAGCATTCTGAATAAAAGAAATAGCATATTTTAAAAGCATATGGAGATAAAAATAAATTCTATGTGTCTAGAGAACAGTGAGAAATTGCATCCAACTGAAATATATGTTGAGATGTTAGTCTGGAAAGTTTGGTGGGGACTATAAAAGTCTTTGCACACCATTATGTGAAAGAGTTTGGACTGTATCAGATAGCTAGGAGGAGACACTGATGGTTTATAAGCAGGTGGCTCATATAGGTAGACCTATTTTTGAAAGAACTTTGAAAACTATATCAGAAATGATATGGAGTAGGAAAAATCTATACCTTCAGCCCAGCCCTCTATTCTGAACTCGATTCATGAGGCCAATTACCTATAATCTCCTGGATGCCCCATGAGTGTCTCATTCCCAACATTTACAAAATTTACCTCATCATCATCTCTCCCTTAAAGTTTGTCAATCCACTTTTTCCCCTTATCTCAGCAAATGCCATTCAGAACCCCAGGACCTGAGAATCTTTCTCTATTCCTTTTTTTCTCAACTCCCACCTATAATTAACCATAGAATCTTGTTTATTTATCTTAAATAACCTCTTCACTTTTCCTGCTTAAATATTTTCATTTTCTCTCCCAACATCCTCATGATGAAGTTCAAACTCATGAAATTACATAAGTATCTTGTAGCCTGACCCAGCCTATCTCAACATTCATCTTGCACTCTGTGTCTCAGCCAGCTTGAAGCTCCTTCAGTTCCTCCCGCATACCATAACTACTTCTAGGCCTTCACAAGTTCTGTCACTCCTCTCTTCACCTGGATAAATATTCTCCATTCTCAACATTTCCACTTATATGTAATTACCTCCAAAAAGCCCATCTTCTGGCCTCCACCAAATTAGTTTTATGTTCCTTATATGTATTCTCTTAGCATCCTATACTTCCCCTATCATACAAAGCCCTTATAGCACTCTACTATAAATTCTCTTTATCGCTGGACTATAAACTCTAAAAGGATAGAAATAACTTTTACACTGCTTACCTTGTCCCCTGCACTAAGCTTAGTGCATGACCCATAATAGTTGTTTAATACATGTTTTCTGAAGGACAGACAGAAATGGAGACACTGAAAGTTTTTAAGCAAGCATCTCATAGATTTAGATATATGTTTTAAAGAAAATTTTAGAAGCAATGCTGAAAATGTTGTGTTGTAGAAAATATTCCAAAAGCTAGAAAGGAAAGAATTGGGGGAAGAAATGAAAGGAAAGAAAAACAAACCAGATTATAAAAAGAGATTAGGAAAACGTAGGTCTAATAAAGTTGTAATTTGAGTTCCACAGGAAAAGAAGTGAAAGATTGGGGCAGAAGTAATATATAAATAAATAATGAAAAAAATTGTTAAAAATTGATGAAAGACACCAAGTCACAGAATCATGAAAAATAAATCCCAAGCAGCACAAATCCAAAGGGAACACCAATGTATATTATAATAAAACTTCAGAAATAACAGAAGTTAGAAGATGATGGAATGATATTGTCAATGTGTTATATACTAAAAGAACTACTAACCTAGAGTTCTATACCTAGCAAAAGTATACTTCAGAAAGTGAAGGTAAAATAAAGGCATTTTCAGGTAAACAAAACTAAGAGAATTCATCGACAGCAAATCCAAGGTCAGGAAATACTGATAGAAGTACTTCAAGAAGAAAGCAAGGATGTACAGAGATGAAGGACAAAATGAAGAAAAATGTAAAGAGTCAAAGATGGATAAACATAAATGAATATGCAGTATACAAAACAATACAAATTGTCTTGTAGGGGTTAAAATTTATATAGAATTTAAATACATGACAACTGTATTAGTTTTCTAGGGCTACTGTAACAAAGTACCACAAACTTAGAGGCTTAAAACAACAGAAATATATTCTCTCACAATTCTAGAGACCAGAAGCCTGAAATCACAGTGTTCATAAAGGCTATGCTGTCTGAAGGCTCTGGAGGATTATCTTTCCTTCCCTCTTCTTAGTTGGCAATCCTTGGTGGTCCTTGGCTTGTAGATTGCTTGTAGATGGCTTTTTAATGGCCTTCTCTCCTAAGTATCTGTGTCCATATTTTTCTCTTCTTATGAGGGCACCAGTTATTGGGTTACGGTCCCCCCTAATCTAGTATGACTTCATCTTACTTAACTACATTTGCAAGGACCCTATTTCCAAATAAGGTCACATACACAGGTTCCTGGGGTTAGGACTTCAACATATATTTTGGGGGGACACAATTTAATCTATAACAACAGCAATAATACATAATTTGGGAGGGGAGTAAATGGAATTAAAGTACTCTAAATTACATGTTTTGTCCAGTAAGTTATAAAAATTATAATTTATAGTAGTCTTTAGTAAATCAAGGATTCAAGTTGTAATCTAGGATAGACACTAAAAGAATTATATAATAATGTCATGTTTATGGTCTGACATATGTCATAGTTTCATTATCATTCAGTCAAAATATATTCTAATTTCTAATGTGATATCTTCTTTGATATATGGATTATTTGGGGATAATACATCACAAATAAAGTGGGTTTATTTCAGAAATGCAAGGTTGGTTTGAGCTTTGAAAATTAATCAAGTCACCTTACATTTTAGAGATTAAAAAAAAATTTGATGTTTATTTTTGAGAGAGAGACAGATGAGTGGAAAAGGAGCAGAGAGAGAGTGGAAAAGGGGCAGAGAGAGAGGGAGACACAGAATGTGAAGCAGACCTCAGGCTCTGAGCTGTCAGCACAGAGCCCAATGTGGGGCTTGAGCCCACGAACCACAAGATCATGACCTGAGCTGAAGTTGGATGCCCAACTGATAAGCCACCCCGGTGCCCCATAACCTTATCATTTTAACAGAATAAAGAGGAAAATTATATAGCCATCGCAAAGATATAGAAAAAGCATTTGATAAAATTAAATAGCCACCCAGGAAGAAAGAACCTTAGAAAATTAGGACCATAAAGAATTTTCTCAATCTGATAAATGTTATATATAAGAATCCTAAAGCAAATTGCCATAACTAATGGGGAAGATATGAAAGTTTTCTCTTTGAGATCCAGATAGACAAGAATTCTCTCTATGGCAGTTTCTGTTCAACATTACACTAGAAGTCTGGATGCAATAAGGCAAAAAAAAATATATCTGGATATACAAATATCCCATTACTTTATAATCTAACAATTCTATTCCCAGGAATTTTATATGCCTAACAAATATATACATAAGTATACAAAAAAAATACAATAACGATCATAGCAACTGCATTTGTTTTTTAAACAAAATTGTAATATTTATTTGTTTTTGAGACAGAGAGAGACAGAGCATGAGTGGGGGAGGGCAGAGAGAGAGAGAGAGGGAGACATGGAATCCGAAGCAGGCTCCAGGCTCTGAGCTGTCAGCACAGAGCCTGACGTGGGACTCGAACTCACAAATCATGAGATCATGACCTGAGCTGAAGTCGGATGCTTAACTGACTGAGCCACCCAGGCACCCCATAACAACTGCATTTGTAACAGTCAGAAACTAAGAAGCAATCCAGTTATTCATCAGTAATATAATGGATAAATTATGATCTATTAATACAACCCCATAAACAATGAAAGTGGACGAACTACTGCCAATGAAATAACATCAGTGAACTTAATAAACATAATATTGAGCAAAAGATGCCAGACAAAAAGGAATACATGTTGTATGATTCCATTTATATAAAATTCAAAAACATACAAAATTAAACCATGGTGTTAAAGATCAGAATAATTATCTCTGGGAGGAGAGGAGTGGTACTTGGAGGCTACACAAACTGCTTCTAGAATACAAACAATGCTCCACTTCTTGATCTGAATAGTGTTTACATGTATCACTGTTTTCACCATGCTGTGCAGTTATGACTTGTGAACTTTTCTGCATGTTAATTATACTTAAATAAAAGTATGTTATACTTAGATAAAATACTTTTTTTTAGAAATTGATGACAACAATAAAGGAAAATTAGAAAGGAGAAGTAAGCAGAGTTAGTTACAGTAATGAGCACTGACATCTTATATCTTGACAAGGAAAGAGAAAGGAAATCTTAAAAAATAGATTGATGAACTCAAAATGAGTGTTAAGAAAGCTTATTTAAGGTAGGAGAAAAATAGTCTTATCTGAAATAAGTCTAGGCCTACCATTATATTGCAGCATGTAGGGATTTGATTTTAATATAGTTCATCATAGCTTAGTCATGTCCAGGAATATCTCTGGCAGAGATGGCTAATTACTGCCCCTAAACCATCATTCCTTCAGATACACAATGCACAAGTCCAGGGAAACCTCAACACATGGCCACCAAGAATAAAGCCTATTTGTCTCAGCCTCTGCTGCAGTTAGATAGGACCATGTGTCTATATTCTGCATAATGGAATGTGAACAGAAATCATGTATGCAACATCTGGATTATGCCCTTGGAGTTGTACTTCTCTGTGTCTCCTGTGTACTGTGATAACAAGGGCTGCAGCTGCCATCTTTCAGGTCAGAGATGAAACTGTGAGTTTGATGTTAGGATGGAAAAGCCACACTAAATGCCCTGGATCAGTACATCTCCAGGCTAAATGAGAGAGAAATAATTTTGTTTAAGCCCTTGTTAAGTTGTGTCTAAACCAGATGGCCTACACCACATCACTACCATTTAATTTCACTTAAAAAGCTACTTGTTAAAAAGAAAACAAAAGTCACATCTAAAAAGATATTAAGACAATTAAGTACATTTAAATGTAGAATTAATATTAGATATTGACAAGTCATTGTTCTTCCCTTGTGTCATTAATTGTGTTCTTTTTGTTGTGGTTATATTGGTTGTTCTTAGATTCATACAAAGATCTTAATTTTTCAATGGTTCTGTGATATAGGCATAGAGAGATCATGCAAAGTGGCAAAATATTAACTAGTGAAGCTGGGTGACAGATATTCATATTTGGTTGTATTATGCTTTCATGTTTTCTTTGTTTCAAATTTTTCACAATAAAAATTTGAAAAAAATAAACATTTCTGATATAATGTGGTATGCCCTTGGAGCTATTAGCACACAAAGGCAAGGCATGAGGACACCATGAAGGAGGTGCACTTAGGAAGGTTAACCTTTGACAAAGCAGATGTGTTTGCATTGTGTTGCCACCGTTTCTCCTAGGCCTAGAGAGAATTTGCATTCTTTTTGCTGAGATTACCTCACAGAATGTGGACAACACTGTCAGTCTTCTTCTGTAGCTCAGTTAAGTGGCAGGAATTAGTATGAAGATAGTATCCTATAGACATTGTTTTAAGCAGGCAGTGTGGTGTGTGCGATTTAATGTACCTTATTTGCATGCTGTCTGATACCCTTTGTCTATCATCTGTGATCCATATTGCACCCTGTAGTGGGATTCATTTTAATTGTAGACTCTACAGCTACAACTGTCTTCCAGACAATGTTATTATAGTAATAATAATAATAACAACAATATTCCTTTGTTTCTGAAGACGGCAGAACCACACTATAAAAGCCAATCTGTTAGAAAATAAAGGAAACTAGAACATAGATAACATGCAAGAATTAAACATTTAAAATCTCACCACCATAAGCTCTATATATCATAAGATCACATTTATGGAGTTTTACTTTAGTTGGACTGTAGGCAAGTTCTCATTACAGTTCAATAGGTCTGGCTTGTCTGTGCTGGGATCAAAGTATTTCTTCCCTATAAGAACATATTTCTAATCCATAATAATAACAAAGGAAAAAATACAAGTTAGAAATAAATTATCTTTAAGTATCCTCTATATAAGTTCTTTGTTCTCTATATTGATGTTTATACTTATGTCACATTATTTACATTTATCGATTAAGAATTTGGAATGTTGAGTGTTACATCTCTGGTTTTTACTTAACGTTATATCTATCTATCTATGTATCTATCTATCTATACACACACATACATAGTACTAATCAATAATATAATTAGAAATTATATGAACTGATATGTAGGGGAAAAAATCTGACTATCCTTTAGAATAGCAAAGGCCAATTACTTGGACCTCTTACACATAGACTGAGTAGAAAATAATTAGTTGAAGGAACACTGAAAACTGTCAAGGGTTTCTGTCCAATTTTTTGTTATCAAAATAACAGCATCAAAAAATCAAGAACTTTTTTATAAAGGAAATTATATCACATCATGTATTCAGAGGTAATGATTTTTCTTTCTGTTGCTTGCTTTCAGAAAATTTATACTATAACATCACCATATTCCTACAGGACATTTTTCTAAATAGTAGACAAATAAAACCATTTATATGTCTCTTCTTAAAGGTGAAATAAAGTTTTTTTTTTTAATAATCATACAAAGAATTTTAAGATATTAGTTCTAATGACAGAATGATTGGATAACTTCATGGCTAGATCTGTTATCTAAAAACAATTCAACATTATAAGACAGAAGTATTTTAAAGTAATTTACCTTTAGTTATGAAATATTATAATCTCATTTATGGAAAAAAATAATTAGTGAACCATTTTTTCACACAAGTAAGAAATACTATTTCAGGAAGTCAGAGTATCGTAAGATTAAAGTTACTAGGGGGGCACCTGGGTGGCTTAGTTGGTTAAGCATCTGACTCCTGACTTCAGGTCATGATCTTAAGCCCAGAGTTGGGCTCTGTGCTGGCAATGCAGAGCCTGCTTGGGATTCTCTCTCTCCCTCTCTTTCCAACCCTCCCCTGCTAATGCAAGTGTTCTCTCTCTCTCACTCTCTCCTTCTCTCAAAATAAATAAACATTAAAAAAACGATAATAAAGTTACTAAGGCTGAATGCTTTGGGCTCAAATAACCATCAAGAAATTGCCATCACTCACTGAAATTGAAATAAACACCACTGCTACTGATAATTCTGTCATTAAATTTCAAGAAATTATAGATTGGATTTTTTTTATAAATATTTTTATCTCTAAAATCAGTACTTTGTTGGCTGAAGAACAAGTTTTCAGGGTGCAATTCAAAACCTCCATCCTCAGGCCACTCAGTTTGGAAAGACATACATAAAATATTCACGAGGTTTGTTTCATGCCAACAAATTGCTCCAGAAGGTGAGAAATGATGAGCTAGATTCTTACATCTGAGCCACTGTCTCTGGTATGGAAAATACCTTAGAAACCTATTCATGCCCCAGGTCCACAACTTACTATTCAGAAAGTTTTCACTGTGATGAGCCAAATAGCATGCTGACTCATTGGATTCAGAAACCTATTAGTGACTAAGAGAATCACTGTGTTAACCAGAAACACCCTGCATTTTTGTTCATCTTTCTTTCAGATCACACTTTCACATCCAGCCTCTGGATATTGTTTCTTTGTAATCAAATACTGGCAATTTAACTTGATAATTCTTCTGAGCTTTCAGAGAAAAAGAAAGGGTTAGATATAACTGAGTAGCTTTTCCTGTAGTTGTTTTTTTTTTTTCCAGAGGAGCTCATTATTGTCTGTACTTTGAAAATTATTTTGCCTTCTTATCTTTTATTTTACAGGAATAAAAGAACATCTCATTTCTGGGCTAGAACTAATTGGTACTTGGTATTATTCAATTGAGTGCTATTTCAGTTTGATACTCTCATTTTCTGTGTAGAAATTAAACAAAGTGACTTTCAATGGCTGCTTAAGTATATAGAAGTGAAGGAAGCCACCATATCTGTCACCTCATTCATCACCAGGGTGAAGTTAGCTAAACTGAGAGGCTAAGCATCATTTACTTCTGTCCACACACCATCTCATGCCTGCCTCCTGATGTAGCCTGATTTCTGTACCCCCCTTCACTAGCTACTTCATTATTATGGCAGCTGTGAGTGTAGAAAATAGAGAATTTGAGGAATTTTACAGGCTGGTAAAATTACCCCGCAATCTCAGTTTTTAAAAATATATCTTTCAGATGGATATTTCTTCTCTCAAAGTTTTGATTAATTATGTCTTGAAATATAAGTTTCCTTTTAAAATGATTCACTGAAAACTTGGGCTTAATAATCACACAATACTTTTCAAGTAGTTTTCAAACCCCTTGTTTAAAGTTACCATTAAATAATGTCCTTAAACTTTAGATTTCTTCTTCAAAGAAAGAAAATTCTTTTTTATAGTTTATTCTAGGATTTGTTTTAATGTGAAAAAATCACTGCTTGGAATATTGGATTCTCAGTCTCTCTCCTTTTGGCGGGGGGTTTGCAGGGACCACGAAAAATAAGACATCTGAGTTACAAAAGCAATAGGCAACGAACTTAAAGGTAAGTAACAGTATTGCAAATTTTCCTTCTCTGCAGAAAAATAAGAAGACTAAAATAATTTGTAGATATAAAAAGCCATCAGAACATGGATTGTTCTCATATATTCTATAGTCATTAATTTTCTGTTAAATATTTATGTTGCTTTTGGATGCATCAGTTTTTATCTTCCCTGTTGTATGATAAACTTTCTAAGAATGGGAAACAAGGAAATTTCACATCTTTACTTTTTGCCCTATATCCTCATGCTATCCTTATTGGTGGATAAGTAAGGACAATTAGAATCCAGAGTCACTTCAAATACTCAAAAAACATTTTGCAACTATACCAATACATTTTGGTTCCTATGAGCAACAGATTATTAATAGCATAACAGAAATTGTTCTGGTTTAAGAGATTGCAGATGCTCTATAGTTTTATGTCTCTTAAATGGCAATGAAAGGGAGGATTAGGAACGCTGACCTCTGCTATTCAGTTGATAAACGACCCTGTATCATTTAACCAGTCACTTTCTACATTGCCTCATCTTTTTCATGATATTAACAGCTAAGTAATTGAGGAAGATCTCAATGGCTTTCTGTTTTGTTGGTGGTTGTGTTTAAAGTGTTCCCCAAAGAGCTGATGACAAGTGATTTTTTGTGGTCAAGGATTCCTTTTGGTCAATAGTCTTCTCGAGTTTACATCCTTTGCTGCTCTAGTGCATAACTGATCTATTTATATGTTTTCTTGCTCTTTTTTTGTGAGTAGGCTTTATGTTTATTCCTTGGTTTAAGAATAAAGCTGGAGCCACCTGATCCCTAACTTGTTAGTATTCTAGACCCTACTGGCAGAAATGGCCTAATTTTACCACTTCACACAACCTACTGGCCTTTCATAGTGCCCCCTACAACCCACATCTGTGTACCAACCTTTCAGTTTTTCTTAGATTGCTCAGCTGGCCCAATTTATTTCAGCTTGTCTCTCTATAGATTTTCTCTAATCATCATCATCTTCTATTTTTCTGAATGTCACCTTCTCTTTTACAAGTCTACTTTTACTCTCTATTTTTGTAGCATCATTACCCTTGAGCTTCCAACTTCCTAAAAATATGGTGGCCCCAACCTCCCTGTTCTTCTGAGAAGCTTTCTTCTCAGACACTTATTATAGGACATCAGGAATGTAGAGATTTCTTCAAAACACCTCATTTTAGAGCAACTGAAGTCTGTAGAGACAAGTTACCAAATTCACCTTATAATCAACCACAGAACCAAAACTAAATCTAAGGTCTTTGAACTGCAGAGAACTGGAGAATCCAGCCTTGATCCCCACTGATATCATTCCTGCCCTCAGAGGTCTACCTTCCCTGGGACCCATTTCCTCCAGTTGATATAACCCTGAGCAGAGTGTAGTTGAAATGCAAAGGAGAGAATCTAAAATCCACCACAGACATTACCAACCAGCACTTCTACAATTCAATTACCTTTCATTTCTGTAGCCAGGAAAGAATTATACCACATATAAGTTGGAAAGTGGACATGTTATTATATATAAAAACAAGGATTTGTTGTTTTTGGGTTTGGTTGGGGGAAAAATGTTTTGAATCCTCTTATTGGAAATTGGATAATATAATTTTGGGAAAGGTTTTTGGCCTCTGTTGGTTTTCTTCAGTTCTTATTTTGCTTAACCACCACAGTCACAAATTTGTTCATTGATTCCCCTCTGTAGGAGATTCTTTGGTAGGCTTGATTTTTTTTTCCCACCCTGTTTTGAAAAGTTTCAGGTGGCTTACAGTTTTCTCAGAGCCTCCACCCCCATCTGGTGATATCTTTAGGACTGACCATCAGTGTGCCCTCAGAATATTTCTGAAGACTTTATTGGGAGCAAAATTTTACTGTATCTGTCAGTGAATAAATTTTATATGGTAGTCAGCTCTTAGGCCAGAATGTCTATTTATGGAAAATTGTTCAGAGACTAAGTCATCTTTTAGTTCTCATTGATATTCATGACCTTTCTTTGGCGACTTATAATGCCATATGCTCATATAGCATTTCATGGTTTTCACATTATCTTGTTTGAGCCTATGAAGTAGATAGGCTGATATTATCTCGTTTTATGGTTGAAAACACTTTAGCTCAGAGAGATTCAGTGACTTGCCTAAAGTCACTTAGATAGTAAGTGACAGAGTTAAGACTAGAATCCTAGCATTAAGATTGTCTTTGTCTTATTGACCCCCTCCCAACTCATCTGAAAGGAAAAATACCTCTTCTTATTTAGAAGTAGAAATAGGAAAGAGACATTTTTACTCACAGAAAAAAAAAATAGGAGTTGGCTACCATGAGAATCTTAAGACTGCTCCATACAGCAGAAAAGATTCAGGTCTTATTTCCAAAACTGCTAATTTAACAGACTGCTAATTGTTGGTATAAACAACAAAGCAAAGTTCATTCTCAAGGATCTTTGACTGCTAATCACATTTTTGTGCTACAACTGATTAAAACCATGCAGTTGTACTTGGAGTCACAGCTCTCAAATGCTCTTTGCTCAGTACTTTGCAAGGAATGTGTGGGAGTTCTGCTGTGTGACTAATGGGCAGTGTAGGTGGGTGATGCCACAGAAGTTACAGAAACAGAAATTTCCATGAGTTAGAGTTAGAGAACTCTGGAATGACCAGGTAATTTCCCTGTGTCTGCCACCTGCCATATGAACTCTCAGACTTGCCAGGAGACACCGAGGAATCTAGGGTAGAAAATAGAGAGGGGATAAAGGGTAGGGACAGAAGCAGGATTTGTTACCTATCACCAGCACTGTCCTCAAGAGTATCCAATTGCTTAGGACCTGACAAGAAAGCACCAAAATTTGTAAACACAGGATATTAAATTCACAAGTGGTAACAGTGCCTATACCTAGGAGGCGCTCCTAGTAAAGTACTGGTGATGGAGTCCTTCTGTGAACTAACCTATGTTCACATATCTCTTAGTGTTCTGAATGGCCCAAAGTGGACATGAGATGAACTTCTAGCCCTCCAAAGAAACTTCTTTGGGACCCTGACAAGAACCATCCATAACAATTTCTCCTCCTGGGGTCACTTTTTTGTGAGCAATGAGTCCGTATTTAACAGCCCGGAAAGAGGGACTAATATTTAACACTCCTTAATGTGAAACCTTGCTAAAGAAGGTTTCTTAAAAATCTAATGGTTACATTTTCTGGTGTCAAATGTTTTTATTTTTTAATGTATACTTAGTTGTATATTCCTGCCATTTACTCATTAGTATTTTTCTCCTATCACCTCTCAAAGTGTTATGTTTCCAAAATTCTTCAGTTGAAATGTCATGAATATTTGTTTCCCACAACCTCCTTCCTTCAAAGTCTGCTTGACACCCTGTTCTCTGTCTTCCCAGCCTAATCTTACTGTGTCACAGTTAGGTTGTAAGGAGGGAGTAAAAAGACCTGCAATCTATATTCACACTGGGTCAGAGATATTCCAGAGTTTAAAGAAAACTAGATGCTTATGCAAACATCTCCAGTTCCACTTTCATAAAGGAGACATAGAACATAAACATCTCAGAGTGTGAGGTCTCCTTCTGACTCCTAGAGAAGACTCAAGCAGTTGCATACACAGAGAAAGGAAACTTTCCCTTTTTATTACATTTTTATGTTTTATCTCATATATTTTAAATCCAGGAAACATCTTAGATATTTAATGAAAAAGATAGTTAGATAATATTCAGGTACCATCAAGAAGGAAATGAAGGGCACAAACATTTAGAAATGGCTCATCAAACTGGTTGCCTCAGAACAATTTTGATCTTCATATTCAAGGCCAGAAGTAAACAATATCCATGACCAGCTAATGAAATAGGTATGCTTCTTAAGAATCAAAGAGCCCCCTACATCATAAATCATCATTAAAACTGTAACCTAAATAAGCACACGTTACAGAGTTGAGTTAGAAAAGAGAAAAAAATGAATCCTTTCACCTTGGTGAAAGTTGAGGTATCACAAAATAATTTCCTCCCTCCTATTATTGTCCTTCATCCCTGAGTAAGTTCAAGATCCGCTATTTCCAGGGCTTAATTTAAGATTAAGCTGAAAGAAAGACTTTAAATATCTCTCCTTTATATTCTATAACAATTTCAGCATATTTAACATCTGTGTTATATTTTACCATGCACTGCCATTTATTTTATTTTTCATCAGGACAATAATATTCAAATCTAGAGAATACAAGGATACCCAACATGTCACAGCCAGCCTTTCACAAGGGAGAAGAAGCCAGTAGCAAGCAAGAAAATGGTTTATTTTAGAAAAGATAATTCCTCAGGACTTTACGGTAACCATTTCTTAAAGAAGGAGATAAAGTTTGTGATCAAGTTAAACCATTTGTTTTCTAGGCTGTAAAGAAAAACATTGGTCAAAAGCAAAAGCATCCCAGTTTTCACTTTATGCATATAATGTTCCCCAATAACTAATTTCAGTCTTTTATAACCTGCCCAGCTCTTAGGTCTACCATTTCTGCCATTTCTGCAGGTGTATTTTCTAAAAGCATGTTTCAGAAATTCTGAATCTGTGGTCTGATTCTTTACACTTGGAATCTGTTCTGTATCATTAAAGCACAGATTAATTTAGCTTCCTA